AAAAAAACGCAATAAAAAAACTAGATGGAAAATGAAAAAAGTGATGTTAGAGTCGATAGATATGGTCTTTACGAATCGAATGATACGTGTCTCGATGTTGTGGGATGATATTTGTGGGAGGAGATAGATTTTCTGAAGTACCCCTTTTTTTAGCTTTTTAGCCGTTTTCTATGAATTTCACGTTTTCTATCAATTTTTTCGAAAAATTCATAGGAGCAAAATGTTTTTTTTTACATTTTACGTATGTATGTGAAGTTTCATGACAATCGGATAATAACTGTAGAAGTTTTCGTATGAGGAGGTCGGTCCCCTTAAATGAATGTGGTATGGTCATTCATCCAGGAAGGTTTCCTGTGAATAACACAGTTTCTTTTCGGGAATTCTCACTCTATGGTTTGAATACTATACGTTTAGGGTACTTCCTTATTTTCTATAATATTGCATAGTATGTAATATTTCCTATGAAATAATTTATGACTAGAAGTATAATGCGGGGAAAAGATGCTGATTTACGATTAAAGATATCCGTAAATATTTGATAACGATCGAAAATTTTCATTTTACTCTACTCATGGTAAAAAGTTCCTATCATCTCAGTTCCAATCGTGAAAATTTCATGATTGAAACTGTGATTATGTTTTGAGGAATTTTCTACTTTACTTTTAAATTAATTTTTACGGTTGCAAATTAATTTCTTTACGTCATCGAAAAAAATACGTGGCTGAGGACACATGCCATCACTTGACAACATCCAAACTTTTCGCTGTTAAAAATGCAAACACTGCTCAAAATAATGAACCCACAAATAGTAAATAGTTTTAGTAAATAGTTTTAGTAAAAAATATTGCTCAGGATATGCGCAATTTATATGAATAGATTTATCAAGCTGTTTATTAGAATCTTTTCTTCTTATCTTTCTTCTTTTCTTTTCTTCTTTTTCTTTCTTATCTTTCTTTCTTATTTTTCTTATCTTTCTTTCTTTCTTATCTTTTCTTCTTTTTCTCAGGATATGCGCAATTTATATGAATAGATTTATCAAGCTGTTTATTAGAATCTTTTCTTCCACACACCGTTAATTTATTACGGCCAGCGTTTAGAGATTCGCGTCTAGCCGTTATTTCATTTTAAAGTAATTACTTTGTATATGATTTTTTTATTTTCGTATTATTTTTATTTCCGCCAACTTCACATGGTTTATATTAAACTCTTTTAAAATATTGCTGAATGCAACGAACATAATCCTCATTATTTTCTCTGGCAGAATGAAGGCTACTTTGCTGCTTGTGGCAGCCGTCGGCTTGGCTGTTCCAATCAGGTCTTTTGAAGTCAAAGTCGTAGGCAGAAGTCAAAAAAGCCAAAGTCAGAACCAACTTCAAATTCTTTTGAAGTCAATGTCAGAACCAACTTTCTACGTCGCACAGGAAAGACAGTCTAACCGGAGACATCAAACTCAGAGAGGTAGTTATCTAGAACAACCAAACCGATACCAGAACCAATTTAGCTCTGAAAATCAATTCAATTTTGGATCAATCAAGTTCCAGCAGCAAGGCAACCGACCAACTTCCGGGTTCCCTTCTCACCAAGTCAAGTATGACAATTTTGGAAACCCCATCAGACAACAATTTAGCACTCAAAACCAATTCACTCAACCTTCCGGTGGCAGATTCTCGGCTCAGCCTGGAGCTGGCAGCTCGTTCACGCAGTTTGGCCAGTTTGGGCAATCGCAACCACCAAGTCAATTCGCTGGGTCCACTGCCAGCCAATTTGCTCAGCCAAGCCGCTTTGCTCAGCCAAGTAAATTTGTTCAACCGAGCCAATTTTCTCAGCCATTTAGACAACAACATAGTCAATTTGTAAGCACACCAACTGGCCAGATCGCGCACTCAAGCCAATTTCCCCAAACATTCAATCAATTCGGTCAACAAGCATCAAACCGATTGGCCCAAGCCCAGTTTAGAGCCCTAAACTATGCTCCTGTACGTCAGGTCAGCCAAGTCAATCAAATAGGCATTCAGTTTGGAAACCAGCCTATTGGATTCCAGCAGGGATCGCCTTCTTTCGGCAACCAGTTCAGCCGGCAGCAACAAGCCAATTTCCAGAGCACGGGTAGCAGCATCTCTGGTCGGCAACAGACTGCGCCCTTTGGAAGCGTTCAGCAGCCGAATAATTTTGCGGGATGAAATCCCTCACTGATTACCCTCTATTAATTACTTAATATTAAGCATTACTTACTTTTAAAAGCGAAACAATGTCGTTATAAAATTTGGGTTGTAAAACACTGAGTAGAATTGATCGAAAGTGACTGACCTCTCAAGTAAACTAATCGTAAACCGTTTTTACCATTTTTATATTTCGTTTAGAATATAAAATCGCGCTCAATATCATAAACACTGTGCTCGACAAAGCAGAAAGGAGAGTTATAATTTTCAAGTTATATACTATTAATCAAAATGAAATTATTACCTAATAATAATTGATTTATTTATTTGTAAGGAGATATCAAAGTGCAATATACAACTCAATTAAATATTTGGGTCTTAGGAACAATTTACAGCTTTTAGGTCAACACCAGAAAAATCACGTAATTATTTTTCAGCCCAAGACCCGTTGCCTTAACTTATCATCAATACAGAACAGGACCAATAAATACCCGAAAATACTCGAGCAAAAAGAGCAACACAAAATTCAAGACCAACCCACAGACGATGTCGTGATCAGAGTAAAGTAAACGGCAATACATTTCATATTTTTTAAATTAGATTCGTAAGTCAACGAACTTCTGTTGTGGTTGTAAGGAAAATAAAATATTACGTGTCCCTATAAGTATACAGTAAATACTGAATCTGTTAATTAATTTTATTATTTAAATCCCTAGTGGATGTCAACGCTGTTTTAGTTACAAACAATTGACTAATAACTGAATAATTAAACTGCGCGAAATTACACACTTGTGTGGAAATTGGTTCCATAGCTAAGAAAGTGCGCACAAATTTAACATATAAAAAATAGAAATAAGAAAAAAGCATAAAAGGCAAAGGAATGAGCCTGTTGATGCTTCTAAAAAATCGATTGCCTTTGGTCGGCCATCTTTTTGCCTTCGGATCTTGCCTTACAAGATCTCAACTCCATGAATATCGCTGGTTTCATGACTTATACATGCAAGAAAAAACATGAACCATAGCATAGAATTTCACCTCTTCTAAAACTGGTTTCCTGTTCATTTGAGGTCGGGCGAACTGTTAACTCCAGGTTTTGTGCTAAATTGGCTGGGCTTGTGCATTAAATATGTCAGTGTAAAAAATTCACTTCGAAATATGCTGTTGATTTAGGTCTGATCCGACTTTCGTTCCGGCCAAACAAGGATTTTGTTTTCACCATTTTTTGAACAGTTTTCTAAATGTTTACCGGGTTTGTCCTTTATTAATTCGTTTATTCGTGTGGTGCGTTGCTTGAAAAAATTGTATTATTCTTGTTGCCCTCATACATCGTGGAAGTGAAGTGCTATTTCGAATCTTAACAATTTTAATAACATTGAGCAATTAAATAACTTCAGTCTCGGATGTCAATGTGTATAACCATACCGTTTTAGCTTTGCTTCATTGTTTTTAAATGTTATTAAACATATTGCGTTAAATTCACTTTACCAGTAATTGCGTGACAAATGCTATACAAAGCGTTATGAAGAGCCTGTTTGCAGGCGGTTCCCGGAGTGCATTTGACTCGGATGTGCTCAGTCAGTTGCTACAAAGGTGTCATCACTTTAGAACATGCGTACAATTTCAATATCACTTAAAACTATATTCTTATTTATTATATTCATTAAAGCTCTCATGAATAATCTGGATTCGCTGCCCCACCCATGCACCAACTGCATTCAAGTCGAGTATTTCTAAGGTTTTTGCCAGGCTATGGGTGCATTAGATATGAGGTCGTAGCAAGCATCAGGTTTGTCGCTATAAAAGACCTCCGCTCCGCTGCCGGCGCACCATAACTGCACTGCGACCTGCAGAGGTTACTTGTCATCCAATTCAGGTGAGAGCAGACGCTAGATTTAGGAAATTTTGCTCGTCTTAAATGTATGCGGTATGGGCATTCATTCAGGAAAGTTTCCTGTGAATAACACAGTTTCCTATTGAAAATTTTCACTCTAAGGTTTGACTGCTTAACGTCGGAGGTACTACCTTCTTTTCTATAATATTGAATAGTATGAAATATTTAACA